CTACCCACACTGTTCTCTCTGTGTGTAACATTCTCTCCTCTAGTCTTCTCCAGGTTAGTCCTGTCCACCTTTGGTGGTTCTCAGACTTCGTATTCTCAGGATTCCTTTACACGCTTAAAAATTTCTGAGGACCCAAAGAACTTTTGTTTATGTGGGTTATATATATAGATATATATTTTTAAAATAAATTTATTTATTTATTTATGGCTGCGTTGGGTTTTCGTCGCTGCACACAGGCTTTCTCTAATTGCGGCGAGCGGGGGCTACTGTTCATTGCAGTGTGCAGGCTTCTCATTTCAGTGGCTTCTCTTGTTGCGGAGCTCAGGCTCTAGGCATGAGGGCTTCAGTAATTGTGGCACGCGAGCCCAGTAGTTGTGGCTCGCGGACCCTAGAGTGCAGGCTCAGTAGTCGTGGCACGCAGGCTTGGTTGCTCCGCGGCATGTGGTGTCTTCCTGGACCAGGGCTCGAACACGTGTTCCCTGCATTGGCAGGCAGGTTCTTAACCACTGTGCCACCAGGAAAGCCCTATGTGATCAACATTTACCATATTAGCAATTAAAACAGAAATTTAAAAATATTTATTCATTTTAAACAATAAACCCTATTAATTTGTTAACATTAATAAATAATATATTTTTTAGAAGAATATTTGGTTTGTTTTGGAAAACATGGTTAGAAGACTGTTTTAGACATTGTTTTACATTTTGTAAACGGGCTAGGAAGATGGCTGGATTCTCATATCTGCATTGGGTCTGTTGTGATATCACACCTGTGTAGCCTCTGGAAAACTTTTGTACGCTCCTGAAAGAATGAAAGTGAAAAAGGCAAATAACATGTTAGTATTTTTTTGAAAATAGTTTGACCTCGTGGAGCCCTCTAAAAGGGTCTCAGGACCTCAGGGGTCCTGAATCTCACTTTCAGAATCATTGCTTTAGATCTCAGTTCTGTTGTCACTTCTCCAGCGAAGCCTTCCCTGACCTCCCTCACTAGGTCAAACTTTCCTATTATGCCCTAGTAGTACTATGTACCTCTCGTCTGTACCATTTATTAAAGTACCACCTTAACTTTAATGTCTGTTTCTGCTACTTGGCTCCTTGAGATTAGGGATCACGTATGGGTTTTGCGCACAATTACATCCTCAGCCCTTGCCACAAAGGCCTGCCCTGTACTGGGCATTTAGTGCATATTTGAATAAATAAATGAGTGAATCAATTTAAATAAACAGACTTCTTGGATTCCACTTGATTATAGACTTTCCCTTAAAATGTAAGTCCTTCTCTGAATTGTATACCTGTTGTCTCTATTCAGAGCATATATTTATTTTCTGTTTTTTCAGACTGATTATTGCTAAGACTGTTGCAGGGCCATTACACCCCGGATCTGTGCAGCATTCTGCTCATACTCTGTCTCACCCATTGCACCACGTTACAATTCTTTGTTTACCTTCCATCCCCCATCCCCCCCCACTAGATTCTTCAGAAGCTTATTGAGAAAAGGGATTGTGACTTGTTTATCTTTTCAATCCCCTTCTCCATGCCGCAGTAGCATATCTTAGTATATAGTAGACACTAATATTTTCCTGAATGTGTCAAATTGGATTTGAAAAGATACATACATTACAATTGCAAGTAGATGTAAAAATTTTGACCTAAGAAAAATCATGTTCCCAATGCATGGATTACTGACAGGTTATTTATTTCTGAATTGTTTTGCACATCAGAATACATAGGGTAATTCTGTAGGTATTCTGATTTCCAAGAAAGAATCATGGTGATCAGGTGTTTTTTAAAAACATTTGTGGATTTCCCCGGTGGCTCAGTGGTTAAGAATCCACCTGCCAATGCAGGGGACATGGGTTTGAGCCCTGGTCCAGGAAGATCCCACATGCCGCTGAGCAACGAAGCCCATGTGCTACAACTACTGAGCCTGTGCTCTAGATCCTGTACAACTACTGCCCGGTGGCTCAGTGGTTAAGAATCCACCTGCCAATGCAGGGGACATGGGTTTGAGCCCTGGTCCAGGAAGATCCCACATGCCGCTGAGCAACGAAGCCCATGTGCTACAACTACTGAGCCTGTGCTCTAGATCCTGTGAGCCACAACTACTGAGCCTGCATGCCACAACTACTGAAGCCTGTGCACCTAGAGCCCGTGCTCCGCAGCAAGAGAAGCCACCAGAATGAGAAGCCTGCACACTGCAACGAAGAGTAGCCCCCGGTCACCGCAACTAGAGAAAGCCCACACGCAGCAGCGAAGATCCAACACAGCCAAAAATAAAGAAATAAATAAATTAATTTAAACAACAACAACAACAAAAACATTTGTCATACGTGGACATCATTCTGTCACAAGATATTTGAGTTATGTGCATGTCCCAAGTACTGTGGTGTGCAATGGGGATGTAGCTGTGAGCAGGGTATACTTGATCCCTACCCTCAAGGATGTATAAGTCTAGCCATCTGGTTTGAGTCAGCAAAATGTTTCTGTAAAGGACTGAATACTAAATGTTGAGACTTTGAGGGCTATATGGTCTTGGTTACAAGTACTCAGCTCTGCATTGTGGCCCCAAAGTGGCCATAGACACCCTGTAAACAAATGAGTGTGGACACATTCCAATAAAACTTCATTGACAAACATGGGAGAAGATTGGATTTAGCCCACAGGCTGTAGGTGCTGACTCTTGATCTAGTTCGTTTGTTTCTCAGTCTCCGTCTGACTCCTATATCCGGAGCACCAATTTTCATATTTTCAATGAAATTTTCATTGTCTTATTTGCTAGAATTAGCTAAGGTGAGATTGTTGAAGAACTTGATCTCATGCAAACCACTAAAGCTAGTTCTTGTTTTTTTCTTTCGCACTTTTATCCAGGACATTTTATTTCCTTACATCAAAGAAAATGTTAAAGAGTATCTGCAGACACATTGGGAAGAAGAGGAGTGCCAGCAGGATATCAGTCTTTTGAGGAAACAGGTTGGGATATTTCTCTTCCATTGCTTCTGCATTCCCAAGGGTGTTAGAACTGAGGATGCCTAAAGACTTGGAATATTCTCTGAGCATATTTTAAAATAAGTGCTCTGGATTCACAGGGCATGGACGTTGTAGTGACTTGCCTGCTTAAGAATTCACAGTACCTAATTAAAAGGCCAGATATAGTGACATAAATGGCAGTTTGTTGTCTCTACAATTGCCTCTTTCTGGAGCTATTTCAGTTGCATAAAATACCATGTATTTATAAAACTAAGTCACTTCTGGGTGGAATGCAAAAGGGTCTTGTGCCATCTGATCACATTTTTCATTAATGTCTCCAAGTGATAACACCTCATCACCTCATTCTCCACTCTCTTCTCATGGCATGAGCCCCTGCTGCCCCTCCACAGAGTTCCTGGGCCCTCACATACCTCTCTTCCCAGCTCACATTCAGCCCAGCCTTCATACCTGCCTTCGCCTTTGTTACATGTACTTTGTTCTGCTTTGATCCCTCCCCAGTTTTCAGTCTTTCTCCTTCCACATCGTGTGCTGTGAAACTCCCGATCTGTTGTTTTTCTTATTAAAATTGCTTCATTGGCAAAGGTCTTACATGCTATGCAGAGCTAACTCTCTGGCTTTTTTGAGTTAATTTTCTACATTGGACAATGTGGAAGGCTTTCTGTAACTTCTATAACGTTAGAAGTTAGGATTGGAAAGAGAGTCACATCCTTTGAGGCATGGGGCATTTGGGTTTGTTGAATTTTCTAGATAACTTAGGGTTAGTCTGAAACACTCCCTTCTTTACCTTTTTTTGTTGTCTCAACTCCTGTTGTTGAAACATACATACATATTCCCTCATTGTAGCATATAAATAAACCATTGAGTCTTTAGGGATTGGACATACGCATTGTCATAGGCTAAACAGCTTCTAAATAGCTATTAGGGTTTTGCAAGATGTGGGAGATTGCAGGAGACTGAATGTAAACCAACCCCAGACATTGCTTCACTAGTTTCTTTTCATTGAATTCCAGGCATAAACTAATTTCACTGAGATTTTCTTTATTTCTTCCTCAGTTAGGTATAGTGCAGAGAAAATGATCTGATTTAATTGAAGTCCTGGTTTGTTGATCCTAGTAAGTGAATCAACAAACCAGGTCTTATTATAACATTTTATCATTTTGTGCTATCTCTTTTCTCACACACAACATGCCTCTTGGTTTAAATTTCAGCTTTAGTGATACAGGAAAGGTAAATTTATTAATTATAATCCAGTTTTTTTTAGGAATCATTCATATCAGTCCCAAAGCGTAGGATACTTTAATTTTAACAGGGCTCGGTGCTAATGGTGGTTGGAGAAAGTTGGTCTGCTAGTTTTCAGGTATCATTTAAGGGATCTTTTTAAAAATGAGTAAGAAACAAATTTTGTGGTGTTTATGATTTAAAGGCTGAAGAGGACTCCCACCTGGATGGGGCTGTTCCGATCCCAGCAGCATCCGGAAATGGGGCGGATGACCTGCAGCGGATGATCCAGGCCGTGGTAGATAATGTGTGCTGGCAGATGTCTCTGGACCGGAAGACCACGGCGCTGAAACAGCTGCAGGGCCACATGTGGAGGGCGGCATTCAAAGCTGGGAGCATGAAAGCAGAGTATGTAGCTCCTCAAGTGACTCTAAACACTTCACTAGCCACCAAAGCAAATACATTTTCCACTAGTCCTCTCTCTCCAGTGTAAGTTGCATGATTTGCAAAGTAGATAAAATCAACATTCTTTTTATTCCAACAAGTGAGTGTTTTATTTTGTTTTGTTTTTTCAAAGCTGGGATAAAACATTTCACCCAGATAAATCCCCCAGGCCCGTGTCTGGCTTTGTGTGGTGGTTGGAGACTTTTAACTCAAGTCTAAAACAGCTTCCTAGATGTAAATCAACTATACTCCAATTAAAAAAGAAAAAAAAAAACCCCCACACACAAAAAACAGCTTCTTAGAAAATGGCAACTTCCTTGAACTAAGTCATATCTGATCCTTAGTGTACGAGTGACAGCACTGTTGGGCTGCTTCCCAGGATTGAAAGTTAGATTACCTGCTTTCTGCTCTGTTACAGAAGTAAGAATGCTATAAAATTATGCACCCCGTCACTGTGGGGTTTACTCAGTGTCAGCAGTGCCACTCTGTTCTGTGCTCTTACAGCAACTTCCAGACCTTGGAGTCTTGATTGTGGGGTTCCTAAGAGCACTCCTACCGAAGGAGACTCGTGAGTCCTATGTTGCTATATTAAGAAATCTTAATAAGTTGCTGCCACTAAGGATTTCAGGGCATTGCCTGATGTAAACCCTAAGATCCAAGACTGTTACTAGCTGCCTATATTTCTTTTGTTTTTCTGTCAACTGAGATGCCATTCCTTATGTACTTTACAAGGGGCTTCCACCTTTTAAGGATGCTTTAGAATTTCGGGATAAGCCAGTGATGTGGAAATAAATATCAGTTAGTTCACTTGGTAAAACACTCAAAGTGTTGGAGTCAGGAGATGATGCTCACAGGAGTTAGCCCATCCTTCTCCTGGTTTTAGTTCCTTCATTATAAAACCAAGGACCTGAAATAAATCATCTTGGACTTCTAAGCCCTGCTCTGGAGCAATAATAATCTGCAAATTCAACATGGACTAATCCTGTCTCTGAGTGCAAAGTAACAGTTACTGCTTGTTTTGAACTAGTAGCTAATCCCTTTTCATCAGTTTGTTCAATGTTGTTTCATCCAGTAAAAGACTTCTCTGACATTTTCCAGTTAATCTTTTATAGATGACTGGTTCCACACCCCAAGTTTCTTGTACTTCTCTTTTCACCCATCTCCTGTGATGTTGTCCACTGTAGAGCTGGTGAACAAGACTGTCAGGAATCATTGCTGATTAGCTAATGTGAAATGGTACATGTCTGTTAACTGATTTGTTACATAATTTTTCTTCTGTATAGTAAAACCTAAGGTTTTCTTAGTTCTCAAGAAACGTAGTTCTGTTTTCTAGCTAATCAAAGATTAATAGCTTTGAGCCTCCAAACATTTTTTTAATTGTTTGGGTGTAGATCTTTCTAAAAGCATTTCCATGCTCTCTCAAGGCACACTGGACATAATTAAACCTTTCCTCGTCATGAATTATACCAAAGGCACACAACAGTACACTAGTATTGTTGTTTGCTTTTTTGAATTTCTTGGCAATTCAAAAAATCCCTTTCTCAGGGAACTGTATTCAGTATCTTGTGATAAACTATAATAGAAAAGAATCCGAAGAAGTATATATATATATAATGTACACATACATGACTGAATCACTTTCCTGTACACCAGAAACGAGCACGACACTGTAAATCAACTCTATTCAATTTATTCTATCTCTTTTTATGTAATCACTTTTTACTGTCCTTAGTGTGGCTGTCTGTCAAAAACTTCTCCCCTTGACCTAAATTACTGCTTCTAATAATCTACTGTGACCCTGGAACTCTGGGGACACGCTCATTAGATCTGCAGGAGTTCACCGTCTCATGGAGGTGCTTTCCCTGGCCACCATTTGGACACAAATAGAGAAACTTGTGGCAGCTATTTGACTGGTTTTCATTTGACTGGATAACGTGTTCCTTCATTTCAACTTGGTGGTCTTCCCTCTTAGGTTCTTTGAAGACGTGGTTCCAGCAGTCAGGAAATGGAGAGAGGCTGGAATGAAGGTGTATATCTATTCTTCAGGGAGCGTAGAGGCACAGAAACTGTTATTTGGGCATTCTACAGAGGGAGATATTCTTGAGGTAGGTTACCCGATTACTTTGTTTTTTTGACACCATCAAAGCATAAAACAGTGAATCTGAGTGCTACAGTTATAAGCTAAGCAGCACTCAGATAATTGCATTTACATACGCTATGCAGGTTGTCAAAAAGAAGTGGGAAAACTGGGGAATACATTGTGGAAGGGTGAAATGTAGCTGTGGTACCAATCGTTGCATCAGGGGTTCTTAAACTTTGCTGTGCATAAGGATCACCTGGGGAGTTTGTTAAAAATGTAGATCCCTGGGCCCTGTTTCCTGGCAAATCTATATCAGAAGGTCTGGACTGCGGTTGGGAATCTGCATTTTCAAATATCTACCCTAAGTGATTCTGATGACAGTAGTATTAGAACCATATATATATATATATATATATATCTCACAGATAAATAAGACCTAAGCTAGCTTGTAAATCAGCTATCTTGTCAGTATTAGAAAATCATCAACCCAAAGGAAAGGAAACTAATGGCTTCTTTTGGTTGTTTAAAGTATTAGGTAAGATGTAAAAGAGTGGCACATGCCACTATCCCTCACAAAAGGGCACACAGACTTCTTGAATGCAGGAGACTACATGGTGGATTCATTTGTTTCTGGTACTTTGGAGAGAGACAGATTTTATTTCAGCAGATTCAGCAGTCTTCTGTAAGAGAACTGGGCATGTTATTACACGGTGATTACTTAAGGCCTCCTATTAACATCCCTTGTACCTGAGAAAAGTCCTGCTAGCTTTTCTGTCCCACAGTCCCTATGTCCCCTGGAAGACAGGGTAGTCATTGGAAAAAGGGACTACACTTAGGACTTTAAAAAGAAATGCTGACTAACTGAATACAGGCTGAAATTAGTGATTCACAGTAGTTTACTCAGCCAACTATTTTTTTAAAATAAATATTTATTGACCCTCTACCATGTGCAGAGAACACTTTGACTTTGGAGATTGTCATAGTCTCATTTTACTTTCCTGCTTTTTATCTTATTTCTAAGTCAAATATTAAATCAGTAGTAAAACCCTTTAATTGCTTGTTAACTATTCTCCTCTGAATACAGATATAAGCTGCTTTTCTGCTCTCTCTGATGAAATAGACAATAAGGTGATAGTAGACAGGACACAGTAATTACCCTCCGAGTTCAGTAATAAAACTTTATTCCACACTTGCTTAGTGTGAGGCAGACTTCAGAGAGAAAGAAAATATGCAAAACAATTCTTAACTTTTAAAATCACAATATTAATATTACCTTAATTTATCTTTGTTAGGCTTATTTTTAGTTTGTGAAAAGTTCTGAAAATATTCGAAAGATCACATCGTAATAGCTGATCCTAAATGTGAATTTATTTTAATGACTGTTGGTTAAATTAGTAAGTTATATATTTGACCCCAGTTATTTCTAAGATGTCAAGGGTATATATGAGCTCTTGGGTAGAATTTAAAAATGTTTTAATTAGAAAATGAAGATTTCTTGAAAGTAAAGTAATAGCTTACTAATTAGGCAGGTTAGAGAAATCTGGTCATTCTGGGATCAAAAGGACAATGTTGAGAACCTTTCATCGGGTGAAACCCAGTCCAATAAGTAGTTTGAGTGAATATAGTGTTTTAAGGATAGGAAGTAGGGCATATATATTTTAAAAGATTTTGGATATAAAATTAATGCTAATGGAAGAAGACCAAGATTATAAAATGATCTTATATACATTGAATTGGTAGTTTTCTTTTTCCAAATGTTTATTTCTATAAAACCTTAGTTTATATTTACTTTCTGTAGCTTCCATAAAGTTCTCTATGAAGTATACTTACAGGGAGTATTTGTTGAGTGGATGAAGTCACTATGATTGTCGAGTAGTTCAGAGAAAAGGGATGAGAGACAGAGGGGCTGGGTTGCATGTGTGTTTGTAGCATCGTTCTTTCCCCTTCTCTGTGTCCAGCTTGTGGACGGTCACTTTGATACCAAGATTGGACACAAAGTGGAGAGTGAGAGTTACCGAAAGATTGCCAGCAGCATTGGGTGCTCAACCAACAACATCTTGTTTCTGACGGACGTTACCCGAGGTGAGTAATCTGACTTCTTGCACTGTACACTCCAGGGTGGGAGCCGAGCCTGGCACTGCACACGCTTTGCCTTCATAAAGAAAGTTTATGTGGGTAGCCCTGGAAAATGAAGCAGGTTTATAAAAGGAAACAGTGAAACAGCCAACCCACCTCCCTCTCCATCTACCCATCCTTGGGGGAAGTGGCATTGGAAAGATGAATGCTTCTCCTTTTAACACGAAATGGGGAGATAACAGAGGCAGCCAGCGATAAGGGTGGGAAGGAGCATGCAGCCAGCAGTATGAGGGTGGGTTCGTGGCTAGTCCAGCACAGTCAAGTCACAGGGGACCTGCATCAAATGTACTTAACAGCAGTGAGATCAGCTATACACCCTCAGCAAAAAAAAGTGAAAGAGAGAGAGAGACGTCTGTAGTTGGAGCGATTTTGCCTCATTGTCCTGCTGGCTGATGAGCACTGCCCCTCAGCGAGGAGGAACCTCATTTCTCCCTTCCCTCAGATGGGCGCAGGCCCCGGGCGCCCCTCATGTTGTAAACCTCAGCCTCACTGCACACGGATCTCATCATGTTTAAAGATTGGCGTCTTTTTTACGCAGCATGGCCCTCTTTATATGATATACAGTGCATTAGCACATGCATTATCACTGTAAGGAGTGAATGTATGAAACAGCACATACTGTACTTTATGGGAAATTTAAGTGATTTTTCAAGAGTTTTTTTTTTTTTTTTTTTTTTTTTTTGCGGTACGCGGGCCTCTCACTGTTGTGGCCTCTCCTGCTGCGGAGCACAGGCTCCGGACGCGCAGGCTCAGCGGCCATGGCTCATGGGCCCAGCCGCTCTGCGGCATGCGGGATCTTCCCGGACCGGGGCACGAACCCGTGTCCCCTGCATCGGCAGGCGGACTCTCAACCACTGCGCCACCAGGGAAGCCCTCAAGAGCAGTTTTGACCAAACGTAAAGCATACGCTCAAGCATCTATCTGTGTGAGAATATGAGTCCTCCAGAGAATTACGGAAGGAACCGGTAGTGAAGAACGAAGCAAGCAGCAGCAGGCGAAGAGGTCGGGGGGTGCTTGGGGAGGTGGGTGGTCTCTGCCCCTGGTTGGCGAGGCTTTCTCAGACTCCCCCAGCTGGCTGCAGCCTTTGATCTTGTGGTCATTTTCCTTAGAGTCTGTGCATCTCTCGGGGTCCTACTTTGGTGTATTTGTAAATTGCACTTGTGTTTACTTATTTGTGTTTCTTCCACTCATCTTGGATCGTCTTCGTTTACCCATAGAACAGGGCTTTGTGTACTGTGCAGCCGCTCTGATACACTACATCTATTTCACCAGGCTCAAGAAGGGAATTAGGGAAAAGGGGCGGAGGGCAGGGGCGCTCTCCTATCTGGTGGCTCCGAGGGCCCCGTGGAAGCAGCTTCGTCAGTCTGTAGTTGACATTCCTTCCTCCAGCCCTTCTGTTCTTTGTCGCAGAACTAGAGTCACTCCCACTCACTGGGACTTTTCAGAGATGTCACCCAAAGGCAAACCCAGGCTGCTGGCAAAGGCATCTTATTTGTGCTAGCGTGCGTGAGTATATTCTTTGTCTGCTGCTTTGGTTTATCATGTTAGGTACGATCTGTAGGCATATAAGCAAATATATACTAATTTGTGAAGCAGTTTAAAAAAAAAATCTTAACCAGCGTAGGTCACCTAATGCCTTCAAGAAGTCATAATGTGTTTTCCAGAGAAAGAGTGGTAGACAGGCTTAATTTTACCTGACGTACAGTTGACATTCAGTAACTGCTAATATCTTTGTTAAATTTCAATCCTCGCTGAATCTAGACTGGAATTTTTGATCTAGGGAGATGGTAGCAAATCACAGCCATGTGTTGTTTGGAGTTTTGAAAGCTCAGTAGATTTAGTGGAGACCTGCCCCTGCTACACGTCTTGGTTTGGATCAGCCTCAAAGTGCAAGGGTTCTACAAACTGTCATCTTATTTTTCTGCATCCTGGAAAGCTTTGCATTTGCGTGTCTAACTGCTCTGAAGGTGAGAGACAGACATGTGGACACACAGCTTCAAGGTTCACTGTGTAACCAGCTGGCCAGGCTACACCTATGTACCAATAGCCATTTCACCTGGCCTCTGCTTTGAACTGTCAGCGTACTGTAAATGTTTGCCTGTCATATTTCTGTGTATAAACCATTTACTGATTCAAAGCTACCTTTTACCCTCTTCCTTGAATGGCTTTTTGGGGCTTTGAGTGGTGGGCTGGGGAGGTCACTTTACTCTCTGTGTAGATAAAGGTGTAAGGAATGATAATTTGAAGACCTTTTGCTTTGTTTTGCTCTTTATGCAAAGGAAATAGGTCTCTTTCTGGTGAGTTTAGCTGGTTTAACCTGTGAATTGCTTTTCTTTAATCATTCACGTAAACAGGGCTGTTGGAGATGAAAATCCATGGTTTGCCCTATATTTAATTCCGCTAGGATTTTGAATGGTGAGTGTCTGCAGGCTTAGAATTAGAGATCTGCTTTGTGGCTGGAGCTCCCCACAAAGTCAACCTGTCCCAAGCATTCTGGGATTGAATGCGTGATTCAACCTGTGATCCTCAGACCCTCGCCTTATTCCCTGCTTTCTGGTTACCGCTAATAATTGTAACCCCTGCCCGAAGACCACTTATAGTTTCTTCATATTCTTGTCTTTAGCCACATTTTTTTTCTAGTTGCCATCAAAGTACATCTATAATTTCAAGTCTTTCTCTTTTCACTTAAGCCATATCCTTAGGTTGCAGTCCCAGAAATTATTCCTATTCTCTTTAGAGACTAGAGATAATCTCCAAGTTGTCTCTCCCTTGAGTCCTCTGCAAGGAGGTTTTATTCCTGCCGTTCATCTTCTGCCAGCCCCACTCCTGCTTAGGCAGTAGGGCCAGACGATCACCTGTAGCTGGGACAGGGCCAGGCACCTGGCTGCCTGCCTTGCTCTTTTCTATTGTCTCTGATCCTGTGTTTTAGTAGCACGTGTCCAGACTTCCACTGCCAAGGCAGAGTGGAAGACTAAGTTGATATCCCAAATAATACTCAAATATAAAAGAGAGAACTGAAAGACTTTTCCCTTTGGAGGGAAAGAAAAAAGAGGTCCAGGGTTTGAAGTCAACAAGTATTATTAGATAAGTGTCTCAATAATATATGAAAAGAGCAAATAGATGCTTAAGGACAAAAACTTGCCCCACGGTGATGTTGGTAAGAGGCTGAATGTGGAACGGTCACTAGTAAGTCCCACATGGATCGTGACGACTCAACGTGGTTGAGATCCTGGGTTGCTGGTCCAGAGGACTGTGCTTGAGGCAGCCAGGCTGGGAACTTGGGGTGCGTGGAAGGCAATGCCTTTGCTGCTGGAGTGAATGGCATCTGCAGAATTTGCCGGAGGTGGGGATTTTGGAGCACTATTTTTGCTCTGGGAGGTGACAGTCCTTTCATAGGAGGTGGGTTGGTGGAAGAGACAGCTCTGCCCCATTTACTCTTTCTTAGTACTGCTGCCCTTTAATTAATGCATTCCGTTGTTCTGGCTGTTTTCCACAGATTGAGAAACTACTGGGGTTTCTTATTACACCAGATCTGAATTGCAAAGAATGTGTTTCAGATTCTTCCCCAGTTTTGCTCTATCTGCCCAAGTATGCCCCATCTCTGTGACCACAGACCTATGTCCTGTGTCCATTCTCCTACTGTTTGCACATGTACTTTATGTCTGCCTACAATTCCTCCTCTCTTGCCAGTTTTCCTTCCTTGAAATTTCTGATCAAAACTTACTCTCTGTGCAGAGGAGTCATTTGTTAAATTGCAGGTCCTAATTCAGTAGTTGCACACTGGGGAACCTGACATTCTGTATTTGTAACAAGCTTCCACGTGATTTCCACACTGCTGGTCCAGGGACTACACTCAGAGCAGCAATGCTCTAGAGCAGGAGTTGGCAAAATTGTTCGGTAAAGCAGGGGTCCCCAACCCCCTGTTAGGAACCGAGCCGCAGAGCAGGAGGTGAGTGGCAGGCGAGCGAGGGAAGCTTCGTCTGCCGCTCCCCGTCACTCGCATTACCGCCTGAACCGTCCCCCACCACTACCCCGGTCTGTGGAAAAATTGTCGTCCATGAAATCAGTCCCTGGTGCCAGAAAGTTTGGGGACCACTGCTGTAAAGGGCCAGATAGTAGCTATTCAACTCTGGTACTTGTAATGCAAAAGCAGCCACAGATAGTACATAAGTGAGTGGGTGTGACTGTGTTCCAATAAGACCATGGTTACAAAAACAGGCGGTGGGCCATAATTTGCTGACCCTTGTTCTAGAGCACAGACCACAGAGTCTGACACAGGATTTCAACTTTCAGCTCTACTACTTGCTAGCTGTCAGTTTCTGCATCTGTAGGATGGAGATAGTAATACTAACAACCTCAGGGTTGTTGTGAAGATTTAGATGGGAATGGAAGTTCCAGGAAAGCAGGAACGTTGTTTTGTTCACATATCTCTGGTCCTAGAATAATAACTGGCACATAATAGGTGCTAAATTAATACAAGGTATTAGCTATTATCTTTCAGATGGACACAAAATGAGGAGGGGTACGTAACCCAAGACATATTGGAGATATCCCCTCAAATATAGCTTACTTAGTTTTGTTTGACTAGTTCTGTTTTTATTTCCACGCAGTCACTGATCTTAAAACTCTTAGTCCAATGAGGAGAGAGACAACAGGTAATAACATGTCAAATCATATTGTCTTGATAGGACTAAATACAGGGTGTTGATGGAGCACATAGGATGCTCTAATACAGATGGTAGTAGCTCTAGAAGATAGAATGTTTGAGCTGAATTTTGAAGAGTAGGAATTTGCCAGACAAAAAAGATGGGCAGTCTAGCCAAGGGTTGTGACATGTTTGGGCTCCAGGTGTGAGAGTAGGTATTTCAGCCTGATTAGATCCTGGGATTCCATTTGCCCCATGTCTACTTAATTGGTATTATTCCTGACAGCCTGTCCTTTGGGAAACAGCTCAGTTCTCTGTAGGACTGATGGGAGGGAATGGAAGAAAGCTGTGGACATGGCCCTGTCTTTGTGCATTCATAAATAGTAAAGCTTAGAAGTCTGGGACACACTGCCCTCCTTGTCTGTCAGTACAGTTAGTTATGCATTTGAAAAAAATTTTTATGGAAAAATTAAAAATTATATAAAAGAATAATAAGTCCACCCCCTGTGCTTGTCTTTTAGCTTCAACAGTTATCAAATCTGGACCAGACTTATTTCTTACATTCCCACATCCCTCTGATTATTTTGAAGCAAATCCCAAACATCATATTCTGCCATTTCTGACACATATTTGGATTTTCGCAGAGGCCAGCGCTGCTGAGGAAGCTGACGTGCATGTAGCTGTGGTGGTGAGACCTGGCAATGCGGGGTTAACAGATGATGAGAAGACTTACTTCAGCCTCATCACGTCCTTCAGTGAACTGTACCTGCCTTCCTCAACCTAGAGGAGGAGTTCTAAGGAAGACCAAACTGTCTTCACAGAGTTGTCCCTGTAGTCTAGTTTTATTCTAATGGTAAAAATAACTTACTTAAAAAATACATATATACACATACATAAGGTAGGTATGTAAGTGTGTGTATGTTCAAATTACCTTTCACAAGCACGTAAGTGGGAAAAGGAATCTCAGTTCAGAGGAAAGGAAACTTATTTAAAGATGATGCTTTATATGTAGAAATTGTTTGAAACCACAGCTCTAACCATTATTGAGGGTGAAATATAGTTGATAGAAGAAATTACTACTATACAGGTCAAATGTGTTATGTTTATCAAGTCATGTACCAAAATAGAAAGGTAGGTTTGAGAAGTTACTCAGAAGCCTGGTTATTTTAAAAACTAGAAGTATTTCAAAGACATTCCTAGTAATAATCTACTCCTCTTTTAAATTGTGAGTTAGAAGATTACAGCAACTGAATTTCAAGCTATTAGCCTCCCTGTTTACAAATGACAAAGCTATTTGTTTCTGCTTCAAAAGAGAGCAAAGTTGGGAAAGGAAACTCAATTTGAGTCTTGATTAATCATACATCTGTTACTTAAGAAACTTGCTAATCATTGTGGTACCCACAGCAAGCAGTTGCCTTACCAGTGAAAAAGATGCACTAATGTAATAGCTAAAATAGAAATGTGCTTCCTAATGTTTAACAAAACAGTCCTAATCCTGCCACTTATCACAGATTTCAGAGTTAACCTTGCTAACTACTTCTTAGCACAGTTTGAGAACATATGTTAATTGCTGTTTACTATTAAAAAACAAAAGGTTTGCTGAAATTTGTCCATAAGACCTAGAAGAGCCCTAATATCTAATATTTTCTCTGAAATGGATGTGAGAAATGTAAATTTTATAACAGCATTATTTATCCTAGTTCAGCCTAATAGGATGTCATGTCAATTTCCTGTGGTAATTAATAAAAACATTTTCTTCTTTACTCAGTTGTTTTTTTTTAAATAAATTTATTTATTATATTTATTTATTTTTGGCTGCGTTGGGTCTTCGTTGCTGCGTGCGGGCTTTCTCTAGTTGCGGCGAGCGGGGTCTACTCTTTGTTGCGGTGTGCAGGCTTCACATTGCGGTGGCCCTTCTTGTTGCGGCACGTGGGCTTCGGTAGTTGTGGCTCGCGGGCTCAGCAGTTGTGGCTCGAGGGCTCTAGAGCGCAGGCTCAGTAGTTGTGGCTCATGGGCTTAGTTGCTGTGCGGCATGTGGGATCTTCCTGGGCCAGGGATCGAACCCGTGTCCCCTGCGTTGGCAGGTGGATTCTTAACCACTGCTCCACCAGGGAAGTTCCTTCACTCAGTTTTATGTAGGTTTGCTTACTGCCATAAGCAGAAGAGAAACTGAAGAGAGATTGAACAAATAAGAATTTTAGGGGCTTCCCTGGTGGCGCAGTGGTTGAGAGTCTGCCTGTCGATGCAGGGGACACGGGTTCGTGCCCCGGTCCGGGAGGATCCCACGTGCCGCGGAGCGACTGGGCCCGTGAGCCATGGCCGCTGAGCCTGTGCGTCCGGAGCCTGTGCTCCGCAACGGGAGAGGCCACAACAGTGAGAGGCCCGCGTACTGCAAAAAAAAAAAAAAAAAGAATTTTAGTTTAGTTTTTTACCTTAATCTTGTGTGTGTTTGTGATATGTGTGAATACGCATGTGTGTGTTTTAATGGAATGCCAGTAGAAAATCACTGACTATCATTTGAGTTATATATACATATATGGCTAACCTTAGTGGTTATTATTTCATTTGGTTAGTAAACATTCAAGATATGAGTAGATTTCTTAGATTTTTGAGAATCTTATATTTGAGGTATATAAGATAATGCTTGAAGGAGGCAATTATTCTCCTAATTAATCAAGAAAAACTAATGAATCCTGGAGGAATAATTTTGGGGATGCTCTGAATAAGGAAAAGGAAGTAGCCTTGCAAATATGAGAGGACAGGGAATATAAAAGATTTTATGTTGACAGTTTTTATCTTCTAGTAGCTAATTAAGAAGTCTAAGGACTATGAAGATATAGAAGAGTAGCGAAAGGGAATGAATTTACGTAAATCTTAGAAATGGGAGTAATTTGTAAGTGACGGTAAAGCCACAAATGATAATTAAAGGATGAACTTCATATAGTATCTGAAAAAGTTTATGAGAAGGCGAAAGAAAAGGGGTCTCTTAATGATAGTAAATGAACAATTGGAAAATTAAGGAAGGAAAGAAAGAAAATTATGCACCAGGGACTAGATTAGAGAGGAATTAAAGGAAAAGGAGGATGCTCTGTATCTAGCCAGCAGAGAAATGAGCTGGAGATCTTAGTCCATCTAGGTTGCTGTAGCAGGATTCCAGACACTAGGTGGCTTATAAACAACAAAACTTTATTTTTCACAGTTCTGGAGGCTGGGAAGTCCAAGATCAAGGTGCTGGCAAATTCAGTCTTTGGTGAGAGCCTGTCTCCTCACACATGGCTGTCTTTTTCACAGTAAGCTCACATGGCAGAAGGGGTAAAGCAGCTTTCTTGGGCCTCTTTTATATGGACACTAATCCCATTCATGGCCCCAAAGGCCTCCCAAAGGCCCCACCATCAATACATCACCTTGAGGGGACACTAACATTGTCTACAGCAAGAGACATTTACTATCCATGATAAAAAGGGTACCAGAAAAACTGTAGTTTATACTGAGTAGCTGAAGATGGAAATAGATTAAAAAATTAAGAGAAAGTTGCAATATCAGATTCAGTTTCTCAGAGTGGGGTGTGAAGGAAGGGAAAAAGAAGGTGAGTGGAATATTTCTGAGGTCTTAGGAAACGCATTCATAATTAACGTGATGGAAAAGGGTCTTAGGAAGAACTTGAGTCATAAAATAGGCTGGTCGTGAGGAAGGGAAAAATGCCTAGAGAGTGGGTAGTGAGCTAGGAGGTGAGTCCAGTTCAAATCATGATCCTTAGTAAGGGAAAGGGGAAAAAATTCTCACCTCTGCAATTTCCAGAAACAGACAAAGTTACTAAATTTTCTCAGCATCTTGTCTGCAGAGAATGCAGGGGACAAAGGTCTTTTAAAGTTGTGGCTCTTGTTATTCCTATTTGTTCCAGATCTGCCTTAGTTGTGCTCTTTT